ACTGTATCCTGGGGAGCCCACCCCGGTACACGGCTTACATGGAAGACACAAGGGAGGGTCCACTGAGCACTTCATGGTGTTACCATCCTTTGGTATTTGAGGAACAGGATATAGAATACATATTTTTGGACTTACCTTTCTTTGGCACAGATTTCTTTTATTGGAGCACTTCATCCTGGATTTTTGAGGATTGTGGACTTCATTTAAATTAATTATAATTTTTTTTTTGTTCTGTTACTGAATATTTTATACAGCATACCGTGCCCTGCCTAGGGTGTCCAGATATCGCCCTGATGTCAGCCCGTTGTGTCCCCAATGCTCAGGCACGTCGGGCACATTTTATCATTCGATATGGACATGCCCGGCTGTACAGGTTTTTCGGTCACAAAGTATACAATTTTTACATGTTTGGATGGGCTCCTCTCTCCAACTAGACCCCAAACTGTGTTTGCTTGGCCTCCTTCCCAACCAGGACCAGGGGTGGACTGACCATTTGGAAACTCGGGCACTGCCCGAGGGCCCGGGGTCAGTAGGGGGCCCCATAAGATGCCCCTGGTACCTTTTTCATAGGCTTTTTTGAGTTTGGACAAGGACACAGGGGCCCCATGAGTTGTCAGTCCGCCCCTGACCAGGACACCATATTTCTACACGAGACCCTTTAGTTCTAGAAAACTGAAAGTACCCAAGGCCTGGTAATAACTCAGAAGTAGAGGCATCTACTGTGGTGCCATCAGAGATGGTGATGTGATAACGGAGTACTTACATAGAAGGAATATCACGATTTTCAACAAAAAGGAAATCAGAAGAGAGACAACCAGGATGCAAGCCTTTTGAGTGGAACTTGCCGTGTCTGGAGAACAGATAACAATGATTATTGACTATGAGATCACGATGATGACCTTTAAGCATTTTTATTTTTAATGATCAACCAATCACATCAGTGTGCCAGAGGAGCTTACACTCTAATGTCCCCCACAGTCACACACTAATATTATTGTACAATTACATAACTCTGACACACAATGGTGTATTTAGGTTTCGTGTTGCCCTAGGCAACACAAAAATTGGCTCCACCCCCCCCACGGAGAGACCCTGACACCGACCAACACCCCCCCTCCCCCACAAAAAGAGCCTGACACCGACCAACACCCCCCTCCCCCACGGAGGGACCCTGACACCGACCAACACCCCCCCCTCCCCCATGGAGAGACCTTGACATCAACCAACACCACCCTCCCCTACAAAGAGAGCCTGACATTGACCAACAAGATCCCAGCCCCCCCCCCCCACCTGAGATTGCCTTCCACTACCACCACCCCCCATACACTTTTTTTTTTTTAGCCCATTCAAGACCATAGATCCATCCCAGTACCCAGAAAGGGAATCTCCTGTATATCCAGGAAGCTACACCCACCAAACCCTTTAAGGAACCTCTGGCTGATTTAGATCATGGTAAAGCCCTGGAATTATCTGGAGTGCCACTTACCCTTCAGAGGGAGGATTACCTACCACCTGTTCTACCCTGATCTCCTTGAGAGGACATCTGGATCTATATCTATATGCGCATTTATGTTGCGCATCTGGTGAGTGAGCAATTTTACTATATCCATTTGCACAAGCACCGGAATACCATTGAAGCAGGCACCTTCAGAGCACTATTGTCACTTTTGGAACATTTCTATATATATTTAATAATCATTTATCTATGAACTTCATCTACTTCATTGTTGAGGCACCTTAAAAGAATATATTTTTTAGCGCTGCACTGTGATTCATTACCGCCCATACACTGGCAATGCCCCCCCAGATGCTGAGGGAGAGAAGACACTCACCTTCACAGCTCTGGACATCCCCGGGAATAAGAGTCAGGCTCTGCATACACCATCAAGCAGCCGCAGTTTCTCTCAGATCCCACCTGTTCCCCATGCTGTGCGTGTCTCCCTTCTTCCATCCCTTCCTTTGGGGGGCGGTGCTGCCCCCATGAAAAATGCTGCTGCCCCCTAAACGATGCTGCTGCCCCCCTGCAAAATGCCGCCCTAGGCAAATGCCTTGTGGAAAATACGCCCCTGCTGACACATACCACAGAGCTGTATAGAGAACACTGAACCAGTCACATTAGTCTCTGTACCAGAGGAGGTTACAATCTTATTTTCTTACCAACCTTAGGGGATGCCCAAGGGAACTTTAAACTTGAGAACACCTATGTACAAAATTGTGGATAGCAACAGTCTCTTCTTGAAGAGTTTTAAAAACTCCTCGGTGTACCTCCTCAAACTTCAGATGAATCCTCTTCTTCACCCAACTGCCTGAGGGAATCCCTGAGCAAGGGGGCCCAAGAGCTGCCAATGGAACAGTCCAAGATGAGAAGCTAGTTGGGTATTATACTTGACCACCCTCTCCCCTTATCTGGTCCAGGGGGGTGTAAGACTCACACTGTCCTCTCCTGTTAGCTTGATGGATTGGTGGCTGCTTTCAGGCCTTACTGGCTTGTTCCCTGCTGCACAGGATGTCCTCCCTTGGAGACATTGAGGCAGTGGAGATCCTCCTCTCCAGCATCCAGCCTGTAGGTAGGCTCCCCTCCCTGGGGGCCTCCTCCCAGGCTCACTCACAGGCTGACTCATCTCAGGCTGCTACTCAGCCTCTATTTAAAAACTAACTAGCTAAACCTGGAGGGCGTTACATCTGCAATCACACTGTAGAACTAGTTTGGGAAGAAGCAAATCAAACTAATTTTTAGTTCAGCGCCTATATTTTAGTTTAGGTTAGCACTTTGACCATTGACTAAGAGGGCCATTGCTATCTGTGTCCTGCAAGGAAGATCTTCTCTCGCTTACTCTCCAGGTTAGGGGGTTAAACAGAACAGAAAGAGAAAAAAAATCTTTAGGGGTACATAGACAGAATTTCAAATAGGACATCCATTCCAGCCCTTCCCCCACTCTGTCCAAAGCTTAAAGAGCTTAGTCTACGTCAGACTAAAATTGCATTTCACCTATTGAATGAAACTGCTTCTGCAGCCCTTGTGGAAGGTTACACTTAGACGAGGAGAACTTAATACTTACACTGAAGGGAATACAAGAAATATATAACTGCAGGAAATGCCAGGGACTGTATCACCTCCAGAAAATAACAGAACGACTGATTCATCTGTATAGCAATCATGTTTCTTTCATTACCTGGAAAACAAGATGTATACTAAGTCATGAGAGAGAGAGATGAGAGAAAGAAAGACAAGAGGATGGAGAGAAAGGGGCAGAGGATGAGAAGAGAGGAGGAAGAGAAAGACAGAGAAAGAAATGTGAATGGGAAAAGAACGAAGAACTTCGGACAGGCCCGTGGAGTCAGACAGGGCTGTAGTCCAACTCTCTTCAATGTACATCAATGAACTGGCGGCAGCTCTAGAATTCTCCTCAGCACCTGGACTAACTTTACACAACACAGAGGTGAAGTTCCTGCTGAATGCGGATGACCTCCTACTACTGTCACCAACTGGGGAGAAGCCTACAAGACAGCTTGGAGGTGCTGGGGAAATATGGTGCAACATGGGCACTACCCATCAACCCAAAGAAAAGAAAAAGTCACAGTGTTCTGAAGGAAGAACACAAATCAAATAAAGAGTTTATCCTTTACATTAACAACTGCAGTTTTGATTAATCCAGCAGCTACACATGCCTTGGCCTACAAATGAATCAATAAGGGGTTTTCAAGCCAGCTAAAGAGGCTCTAAAAGACAGGTCATGCAGAGCCTTACATGCCATCAGGAGACAACTGTACCACCCAGGGGTGGACTGACCATTCGAGCACTGCCCGAGGACCTGGGGTCAGTAGGGGGCCCCATGAGATGCCCTTGGTACCTTTTCATAGGCTTTTTTGGGTGTGATTTGAGTGTGGGCGAAGACACAGGGGCCCCATGATCCCCTATTGCCCAGGGCCCCATGAGTTATCAGTCCACCCCTGGTACCACCTAAAATCACTGGTAAGAGTCTGGCTTAAAATCTTTGACAGTGCCAGTCATTACCCTAATCTTTCTTTTTGCAGTGAAGTTTGGGGGCCCTGTTACCTATCAAGAGCCATCCAAATGGGACTCCAGCCCAACAGAAATATTTAATCTGGAATTCTGCAAGCACCTACTCCAAGTCCATCAGAGCACCTCCAACAGAGCTTGCTGATCTAAGCTGGGCAGATTTCCCTTACGGCTCAGAGTACAGAAGAGAAAAGATCATACTGGGACCACCTACAAAACAGTAGTCCCAACTCATACCACCATAATGCCTTACTGACCAATAAGGACCACTCCAAACCATGTGTCCAGCACTTTGCGTTTCCAAAACTCCCAACAATGCGGCTGATGAAATTTCATATGAAAGGTATAATAAAAACCTCAGAGAACAGAGAAGTAAAATAAAACCAAGAACGAACTGCTGCATCACTACAAAGACTACAGCCTGGCCCCCTACCTGGAGATACTTCAAGATCCCAAAGTCTGTATAGAGTGCCCACAACCTGGAGACTGAATTTGGACGGCACAGACAGACTACAAGACCAAGAAAAGTAGACCGTGCCAGTAATGTGACCAAGGTGTCCTGGAGGATCGGGAGCACTTCCTGCTACAGTGCCCCATAGACTCATCAGACACTCTTCCAGAGAATCTAGTCTCTCATTCTGGACTTTACTTCAACAGAAGAGAAGAAAAAAACTCCAAGGAGAAGAGGAGCTAGCCTTACAGTATGTCAGAGCATGTCATAGACTTAAGAGGGACTTGAAAAACTCAAGACTTATAAACCCTTTACATGGACTTACCCCCCATCCCCTTTATATTAGCCTTTTATTGCTCCCCAAAATTGCCCTAGAGTTATTCCTTCCCTACTCCTCTTCCCATCCAACCCATGCAGATTCCTCAATTGCTTCAGCAATGCTAAAATTCCTGCCAATAAAGCTTATTTGAATTTAAAAGAGAGAAAGAGAGAGATTGGTAACTCACTTTTATAATATATCCAGACAAGAGCAAGGAACCAATGAATCACTGTAAATAAGGTAGCAGTCATGAATATGCAGTCTGTTCCATGTATACCTTCTGGAGAAAGAAAGAAATTATAATTACCTTGTGCTTATACGACGCATTATGGATCCTCATTTACTTACATTTTATTTCATACCATTCACATCAGTCTCTGCACCAGAGGAGCTTACACTCTGCACCAGAGAGGTTGTGCTGCAGTTGTTCTCCCTCTCCAGACACTAGGGGGCCAGGCCTGCTCGCCTGGCCCCAGAAACATGGCCTCTTCTGGGCTAGGCTCAGACCATGCTCCCCCTGAGGGACCCAGCTTGCCTTCCCATACTTCAGCTACACCTGAAGACCTTGGCTGTGGCCCTAAAAGAGGGGAATCCCTCCCTGTCTTCAGAGAGCGGGTTGCTGACTATCTGGTGAGAATCGCAAAGGGGAGGAAAAGTTGATGAGTCTGAAAGCTGACTATAAGAAGAAGAAAGTTCTCCATGATAAGTCATGGAGCAGCAAGAGGCAGAGTATGAAGCCGGAGATGAAGGGTTTGGAGGTCGCCATTAAGAAGCAGCAGAATCTGGTAAAGACGCTGAAGGAGAAGAGCGGAGCTTTTAGAGAAAAGTTCCGGAATGAGGAAAGGTTCCGGAAGATGAAGGGAGACTCCGGTAAGGATCCAGCATCGGCGGTGGCAGTACGGGTGGAGAGCGAGGAGGGGGGTCCTGGATGCTGCCCTTGGTGTCCCATCCACCTCAGGATCTGCTTCCCTGGAGGAAATGTCAGCCTCTGCTTCCCTCCCTCCACAGCAAGCTGGAGGAACAGCACAGGAGGTAGAGGAACATGGCGGAGGGCTGCTAAAGTACATTGAGCAATTGGAGTCTTCCCTAATTGGAAGAACCTTCCGCTTTTCTGGGGACTCTGAGGATGACGGTGAGGACTCTGTTCCTGGTCCTGTAAAGGAAAAAATGACAGAAAAGCCACGCTTTATTAAAAGTGCCAGTTTGGACTCCAACATGGACAGCCATGTGCACTGCAGAGTTTTGGAGGGAAATCCTCCTGTGTGCGCACAGAACTCTGCTGGGAAGATGGCTGCTGTGCCTGCAGGACTGCACTCTGCTGGGACTGTGGACTCTGATACCAGGAACCCTGTGACTGTGGACTCTGCTGGGGGGAAGGTAAAGGGGGGATCTGAGACTATTGCTGGACAATCCCTGCAGATGGCTGCAAATGCAGCAGAAAATGGTGGGAGGGAAAATGTCAGCAGCACTCTGAAAGGTGTTGCTGAAACCCAGGGGAGAGTGACCAGGAGTGGAAGGCTTTTGCCTAAGAGGAGTATGTTGGGGGAGGGGGAGACAGGGCATCTGGTGTGAGTGGGTCTGCTGGGAGCAGTAGTGCCACGAGTGAAAGGAAACATGTGGATGATAAGAGTGCTTGCAATGCTGGAAAGGGGAATGCCTGTGTGTTGGTGGATGGAGTGACTGCTGCTGCCTCTGATGGTGGTTTGCAGAGCGGGGGCTCTGAGGTTCCTGCAACCATTGGGCAGGGTGCAGCTTTAAGGTCCACTACAACTAATGCTGCAAATAAGACCAATGCTGGGGCTCTGGCTGGGAGGAGGGGGGTCACATCATGTTGTCAGCTCTGGGGGGAGGTCTGCTGCAGGTCTGCCATCTGCACCCCTATCCTTCAGGAGGAGGAATTTGGTGCAGCTCAGATGGGAAGGTGGGGGTGCTCCCCCGGTCAGGAAGTTGGTGGTGGACAGGATTTTGGAGATGGGGTTTAGGGCGGATGACATCTTTGCCTTGATCAGCCCTGTAGGATCCTATGAATATGATCTGTCCTTTGTGCGCCCCCGAGTCTCTGGATATATTCTGGGAGAAGTATGAACACATGTATAAGGGTCTGCCGGAGTGGAAGGGACTTGTCCCAAAGGTTGTCTCACGCTAACCTCTAGTGAAGACGGTCACCATTCTAGTACGGAATGAGTCAATTCCTTCTGCTGACTTGGCTGTCTGGCTGAGGAGATTTGGGGAGCTACTGACCCCCCTGAAGAAGATTGTGGATGAGAGAGGGATATGGACTGGTGGTGGTGGTCGGTGTGGATGAGAGAGGGATATGGACTGGTGGGTGGTTGGTGCAGATGAGGCTGTATGTGTGTGGGAATGTGGTCCAGCATCTGCCCTCCTCAGCCTTCATTGGGAAGGATAGGATTGTGGTATTCTACCCTGGACAGCCCAAGCTCTGCAATAAGTGCGGTTCTCGGGGTCACTTTGCCTCCTCATGTCCAGAGATGAAGTGCTCTCTATGTCAGGATCTGGGGCATCTGGTTCTCGGGGTCACTTGGCCTCCTCATGTCCAGAGATGAAGTGCTCTCTATGTCAGGATCTGGGGCATCTGGCTAAGGATTGTAACATCATCAGGTGCAATCTGTGTGATAAGGTTGGCCATTCGTACAACCGGTGCCCTGAGGCCATGCACAACCAGTCAGCTTTGGTGGAAGAGTTTTTTCGTCTGGACATGGAGGAGGCAGAGGAGGAGAGGGAGGCTGTGCCAGGGGTCCCCAGTGTCTCTGTCCCTGTGGTCCCAGTGTCTGATGGTCCCTCTAATGTGTCATCTCCTTGTGTTGTGCCCCCTGAGTCAGTGTCCATGGCTGTTGTGTCTGATCCTCCTGTGTCAGTTTTCCCAGAGGTAGTGGGGGCTGTGGAGGGAGCTGGACCAATGTGTATGGTTGCACCGACCCCCCCCCCCCCCCCCCCGGCGTCTGAGGGTCAGAGGGCGTGAGGCGCTGGGGGGTGGAGTGAATGATGGTGGGGGTGTTGTGGTGAAGGTTGGGGGGACTGCTGTGGTGAGTGGAGAGAGTGGGGTGGATGATGTTGTTGGTGATGGTGGAAGGGAAAGGGGAGGGGGCTTTGCGGTCCGGTTTATCAAATGATGATATGGAGTGGTTGGAGGCAAAAAGGAAGTCTGGGAAGAAGAAGCGGAAGAAGGATGTGCCTGTACCTGACCCTGGGAGGGTGGAGGTGTCAAACACTTTTGATGTGTTATCTGAGGTGGAGGATGAGGGATCTTCAGGTGATGAGTCTGTGGTTTCCATGGAGGAGGAATCACAGAGGACTATGAAGCGTGTAGGGTCTCCAAGTAGGGAGGGGGGTAAGCAGGCTAAGAAACGGGTACCTCGATCATCCTGATGGCGGTTCCCACTCCTTTGAAGGTGGAGACCATTAATGTCGCCAGCATAAAATCAGTAAGCGCTCGTAACATGGCCTTATTTTTGCTCAGCAGGTTTGATGCTGACATTTTCTTTTTGCAAGAGACCAGGTTGTCCAGTTTGGGGGATGTTCATATGGCGAAGAAGGAGTGGAGGCGCGGCCCCTCCTTCTGGTCTCTTGCGGCCGAGCCTTACACTGGAGTTGCGGTACTTTTTTCCGGCATGGTAACCTGTCGGCGGATAATTGAGGTAGAAATGGGGAGATGCATGGTCTTAGACATCTCCATGGGGGGCAGGACCTGCGCCTGATTAACAACTATGGGCCCCAGACAAAATGGGACAGGAAATGCCTCTTCATGAAGATCAAGCCTTTCCTTTTCACAGCCCAGCAAGTTGTCTTCGGTGGTGACTTTAACACCGTCACTAGGACTAAGGACAGGAGAGGGACCGGAGTCAGGCTGGACTGTGACGGGTTTTTTTTTAAACAAAATAGCTAGAGAGGCAGGTCTGGTTGATGTGCACATTTCATTGCTGCCCAGACGACACGGGATTCACTTTTCAGCGAGGTTCTAGTCAGAGTAGAATAGATAGGTTTTTTTTTAAAGGGGAATTCCGCCTTCTCGGCACCAGTGTGTCAGGCGGTGGAGTTTTCCGATCACTGTATTCTGTCTGTGACTCTGAGTGGCCCCGATACACCACCTAAGGGGAGGGGTACCTGGAAGCTGAATTCGGCACTCCTGGACGATGAGAAGGTGAGTCAATCCTTTGAGGATTTTTTTCAGGCACAGGTATCCATCATGGACGTTTGCAGCAGTAAGTCCGAGTGGTGGGAGCTTACAAAACGAAGGATTGTTGGGTTTTTCAAGGCCATAGGAAGGAATAAACAGCAGCTTGATAAGTATGTCACCTACCAGCGTGTGCGGAGGAAGCTCGATCGGCTTGTCTCGAATAATGGAGATCCAGAAGCGATCTCTGAGGTTAAACTCTTGCTCAGGCAGTGTCAATATGACAGGCATGCCTCTTTGGTTCTGGAAAGGGATTATGGGAAATATCACTCGCCTGACCCTTACCAGAATTGCAAACAAGGTAGAGCAGTTAAGTCAGTTGTAGGCCTGGTTGACAGTACGGGTTCCCTGACAAAGTCCAAGTCAGGGATCCTGGAAACCTCCAGGTCATATTATGCTGACCTCCTGGGTAGGAGGGACCTCGATCGGGCGAGCATGTTGGGTTTTCTGGACTCTACTCCAGGACTGGGAAATGGAAGTTCTCCTGTGAGTTTGTCAGAGGACATCACGGCAGATGAGGTGGTGAAAGCTATTGATTAGCTTGCCATGAAGAAGTCGCCTGGGCCAGACGGATTGACAGCCGAGTTTTATAAGCACTTCAAGGTGACTCTGGCCCCATATTTGGTGGAGGTTTTTAATGGCTGTCTGAGAGAGGGTTCACTCTCTCCCTCCATGCGACAATCTGCAGTGATTCTTCTGTCAAAGGGTAAGGATTCCTCGAGAATTGAGAATTGGCGGCCCATTAGCCTTCTCAATGTTGAAAGGAAGATATTGGCAAAAATTATTTTCTGGCGTTTATCGTCTGTTGCGGGCAATTTACTTTCTCGCCATCAGCACTGTTCGGTTCAGGGAAGAAGCACTTTTTCAGCGGTGTTAGCTGTCCGGGAGGCCCTGGAGCGGTGCAGGGCTGCAGGCTGGGGAAAGTTCCTGCTGGCATTGGATCAGGCCAAAGCTTTTGATCGAGTCAATCATGAGTACCTATGGCTGCTTCTTGGCAAGTATGGCCTGGAGGGGGGCTTTATCGATTGGCTAAAGACCTTATACAGAGGGGCTGAAAACTTCATGCTTGTGAATGGTTGGATTGGACGGCCCTTTGAGGTTGGCTCAGGTGTGCGTCAGGGGTGTCCTTTGAGTCCTCTGCTATATGCGTTTGTAATCGATCCCTTCATTCGGAGGTTAGAGAGTGGACCGTTGTGTGGAGTTCCTTTGGACATTCCTGGGGGGCCCCCTCTGAGGGTCGTGGCCTATGCTGATGACGTGTATGTTTTCATCTCCGGGACGCAGGAGGCAGAGGAGGTGGTCTCGGTGATGGAACAGTATGCTGAGGCATCTGGCTCAAAGATCAATCAGGATAAGAGTGAGGTTTTCTGGATGGGAGAGGAAGGCGAAGGCTTTACCCTTCCGGACGCCTTCCCAGAGCCCCAGCAGGAAATTAAAGTATTAGGCATCAGATTTGGTCCCGGTGAATACGGCCTTGCAAATTGGGTAAGCAGGCTACAAGATGCCGATGCCAAGGTGGCCAGCTGGAAGGATTGGAAACTCTCTTACAGGGAAAGGATTGACTGATTAAAACTTACCTGATCCCGGTATTTCTGTATGTCAGCTTTGTCTGTGTTTTGCCAGTGTCTCTCTATGTGAGGATCTACAGTTGTTTCTTCCAGCTGTTATGGGGGCACAAACTGAACCTCATTAAGAGGTCTGTAACCTACCTTCCCAGGCGGATGGGTGGCCTAGGTATGGTCAACCCGGTGGTTTTCTTTTCTCTGATGTTTTTGAAACATAATTTTGGTAGCATGCTGGCAGAGGAACGCCTGGGTGGGTTGGTATTTTTCAGTCCTGGTTTAGGCCTTTTCTATGGAGCTGGGAGAATGGTGGGCCAGTCAAAAGCCTGAGGGTCCAACATGGTAAGCTCCCGGCTTATGTTGCCCCATGTCTGAAAATGCTTCGGCAATGGCGAGTGACGGCGGAGGAAATTAAGTCTCTTCCTAGGAAGGCCCTTGAGAGGAGGGTTGTTGAATCTGCCTTTAGCGAGTCATTGGCCTTGAGGGATTGCCCAGGCCCGGTTATGAGGGAGGGTCTGCGTTTGATGAATCTGGAGAGAATCCCTTTAAAGTTCCAGGATTGGGCCTGGCTCTCATTGCATGGCAGACTATGCGAAGGGCAACCTGAAGCATCGCTCTGCAGAGAACCGTGGTTGTCCAAGAGTGGAGTGCGGTGGGGTGGAGGAGACGATGGACCATTTCTTACTTCAGTGCCCCTTCAATATAGATGTCTACAAGCGGGTGGGTGGGGCTCTGGGGATCCCTTTCCTTCCACTTGAGTTACGCGGAGTGGTCTTACGGAGCCTTTCAGACTCACCGGGACTTTGATTTTGAGACACTTTTTCTAGTTAGCTTAGTAGTCCATTACTACACGTGGAAATGCACGGTGTCAGGTTTCCATTCGCAAAAAAGTCCTTACTGTCGAGGTGATGATAAACAACATTCTGGGTGAGGTTGGGAAGATTCGGGGTCTTGAGAAGGACAGGTGGCGGCCGGGAGCCTGGACAAAGGCGTGGAGGAATGTCAGGTCCCCGTAGCTGCTGTCTGTCAGTCTCTGGGGGCGTGGCTTCTCTTTCTGTCCTTTCACGTCCCCTAGATTTTTGTAAGAGCAGATTTTTGGAAAAAGGCTGCATGCATGGGATCAATCTTTCATCGTTCCTTAACCTGAGGGGGGTTTAGGTGACAGTTGGCTTTGCTGAGATATATTATAAAAGATGATAATAATAGTAAAATATGATTGGTTCTGTTTGTTTTTCCCGGCAAAAAAAAAAAAGCAGTTTCCTGTTTTCTATGCTGAAGTAAGCGATTTTTGTTTAATTATATATATTTATTTTATTTATTCTGTATATAATGTAAATATGTTTTTATTATGTTGCTTGTTTGTAAATTTTTTAATAATAAACAAAAATTTACACTCTAATGTCCCCTCCCCCACAGTCACACACTATTATTATTATACATTTCTATAGCTCTGACATATACCGCAGTGCTGTACAGAGAACATTGAATGACTCAAGTCCGGCTCAGTCCCTGAGCTTCTTACACTCTAATTCAATTACCAGTCATGTAGATAATTAGGAGCACACTGTACGGATAGTTTAGGAAGAAAAAAATGACACTCTAATGCACAGGTGTCAAACACAAGACCCGGGGGCCGAATCCAGCCATCCAGGCCATTTCATGTGTCCCTTGCACCTCTCCTGAAGGTACCCCTTGTCTTCGCCCCCACCTTGTCTCAGCATTCGGCAGCAGAGAGAAGAATAGAACTCCTCTGCCAAATCCTGCACCTCTCAGTGCAGCTGCAGCACCCCCTCATCTCTGCTTCCCCTGGTCTCAGCATTCAGCAGACTCTGGTAACTGACTCCACTCCTCCTCTGGTCCTCCTCCAGACCCTGCACTTTCTGCTTTCCAGCTCTGCCCCCAAAGGGGGTGCATGGTGATGTCAGGGAGTGTAACGGAACCGGACCCCGCCTGCACTTGGGTATTTCCGTTATAATACGGTTTCCTCGTCTGGACACCATCCAGGGACACCACCGCTGACCATACAAGACTAGTCCAGTCTTGAAATAAATCAGGAAATAGATTAATTTATTTTAACACAGATACAAAATATATACATTCAAGAGAACAATTCCCCCCTCCCTGCATAATGACACAGGGCGGGGCAAACCACATCTGGTGTGGGATTCTTGACGTCTGATGCAATGGGGGGTGGGGTGCTCAGGACATCTAGTCTTACAGATACAACCAGCCCTTTGAGGGCAACCATAATACTGATATGGCCCGCAAAGAAATGGAGTTTGACACCCCTGCTCTAATGTAATCACCCCACCCACAGAAGATAATAACTTGGCGGGAAGGGTGGGGGGAAGGGGGCAATGTTCTTACTCACGTTTAGTGCGTGTGATGGGAATGGGGGGGCCCATGGAACACAGAGGTGTCTCAGCTCCCCATATCCCTATTATGTGTAAGTCACCCTGTGCCTGTTAGGGGTACAGGGTGGAATGTCCTGATATTGTATAGGTGGGGTGTGGGGGGTTGTTCATTGTTTAATGCCATGTGGTTGTCCCATTCTTCTATTGTGTGTCTTGCTTGAGAGCAAACTATTATGGGATGTATGTGTTTGTGTATTGGCTTGGTGGGGTGTGTTTCCCAGCAGCCCTCCTGATGGGAGTGTCTGCTGTGTGTCTCTTGTTACTAAATGTATTGCCCCGCCCTGTGTATACATCTTGTATCTGTGTTAAAATAAAGCAGTCCATTTCCTGTTTTAATACAAGTCTGGTGCTGTCTCGTCTTGTGTGGTCAGCGGTGGTGTCCGTGGATCTGTGTTCAGACACTAAAATACCCTAGTGCAGTCGGGGTCCGGTTCCATTACAGTGCACTTGAGCTATTGAGCTTTGTGAATAATGCCTTTTTTTTCCAGTAAAGAATATATAGAATAGACTGATAAACATATGGAAATTAGCCCGGAGTCCATTACATGTTCCCTTTCATTCTAGGTAACCTCTGTCAGAAATGCTTCACCTACCCAAGTTTTGTGTCTTATAACCTTGTGAAATTCATTGGAAAATGACTTCCCACCCACACACCCCCAACCAAAATCTTCCTCTTGCCTTTGATCGTAAACATAAATGGTGAAAATTAACCATTTGACGCCCGGCCTATGGCCAAATGGCGTCCACAAAAATGTATTACCTTTCCGGAAGGCCGCCATATGGCGTCCTCCCGCACATGCGCAGTTTGTGCGCTTGCAGAGCCATGCAGCGGCGCGATCTGTCACCGGCCGTGTACCTCAGACACGGCTGATGACAGATCTGAGTATCGGCCCCCGTTGCCGGTACCATGTGACCTTGTGTGACCAATCACAGCAGGTCACATGACAGTTGTATACAATGGATGGCTTCATTCATGCCATCCATTGTATACTAGTGCCTAGCTGTGAATGGTCACAGCTAATCACATGCATATGTCATGTGATTAGCTGTGGCCAAATCACAGCTAAGCACAAAAAAAAAAAAAAACCCTTAATGAATCGATTTCTTTCAGGTAAATGCTTGCTTATAGCAAAGTAATTCTTTGTTATAAGCAAATTGTGTAAAAAAAAAAAAACAAAAAAAAACAAAAAACTGATCACTTCCCCAAAGTAGTACAATGTTACTATGGTAACATTGTACTACTTTGGACATAGTGAAAGATGAAAATAAAATCTTAAAAAAAAGAAAAAAAATGTAATAAAAAATTTAAAATAAAAAAAAAATATATATATATTTTTTTTTTTCACACTGTCACCAGTCAGTGTCCCTGATCACCGCCATGCCAGTTATATGATGACGCTGTACTACACTGGTGACAGTATGTAAAAAAAAATAGTGAAAATAATTTTTTTTTTCCCGAAAAATTATGACAAAAAAAATACAACTTCAAAAAACTCGCCATTCCTCTTATGAAGTACGTCGGACTGTCTACTTTGCAAAAAGGGGTCATTTGGGGGATTTCTGTACTGTTCTGACATTTGGGGGATATCTGTACTGTTCTGACATTTGGGGGATATCTGTACTGTTCTGACATTTGGGGGATATCTGTACCGTTCTGACTTTTGGGGGATATCTGTACTGTCCTGACATTTGGGGGGATATCTGTACTGTTCTGACATTTGGGGGATATCTGTACTGTCCTGACATTTGGGGGATATCTGTACTGTCCTGACATTTGGGGGGATATCTGTACTGTCCTGACATTTGGGGGATATCTGTACTGTCCTGACATTTGGGGGGATATCTGTACTGTTCTGACATTGGGGGGATATCTGTACTGTTCTGACATTTGGGGGATATCTGTACTGTCCTGACATTTGGGGGATATCTGTCCTGTTCTGACATTTGGGGGATATCTGTCCTATTCTGACATTTGGGGGATATCTGTACTGTTCTGACATTTGGGGGATATCTGTACCGTCCTGACATTTGGGGGATATCTGTACTGTTCTGACATTCTTGGACCTCAAGAAATTAGATTGGCTGTCAGTACTTCAGGATTGATCAATATTCAGATCTATACCATAGTTTGTGAACTCTATAACTTTCCTACAAACTAAATAATACATCCTAATTTGGGTTATTTTCACCAAAGACATGTAGCAGAATACATCTCGGCCTAAATTTATGAAGAACAATTATTTATTTGCAAACTTTTATAACAGAAACAAAGAAAGGCGTGTTTTTTTTTTTCAAAATTTTTGTCCTTTTTTGTTAATTTAGCAAAAAATAAAATCCCCAGCGGTGATTAAATACCACGAAAAGAAAGCTCTAGTTGTGTGAAGAAAATGATAAAATTTTAGTTTGGGTACAATGTTGTATGACCGCGCAATTGTCATTCAAAGTGTGAGAGCGCTGAAACCTGAAAAATGGCCTGGACAGGAAGGGGGTACAATTGCCCGGTATTGAAATGGTTAATAGCTGCCCTGGTTTCAACGAATCCAGAAGACGTTGTGCATCCTCATGAATGGTACTTCTGTCTACTTACCACAACAGGCCAGTGAGATGAGGCTGATGGCCTGGCAGAGCAGGGAGACACATTTAATGGACATACAAGCAGAATTCATCCACCTCCTGTAGTCTTTACCTAAAAAGGTAAAAAACATGTTATCTAAAAATATGGACACGGGACACTTCTGAGCGATGGAAACTGACTGCTGGAAAACGTAGATTAAAAAACGTCTGTTTAGCCGCGTTTATGCACATTTTTTAAAGATAAGCACAGGAGAAACCTCCCAAATGCCCAGAATACACTGAAAAGTGGTAAATTATGAACTATTTCAGACTGTTTCAGAGAAATACAGAGAGTAGAAGCAGAGACAGCAGTATGTGTTGAGATTAGCTGAGGTGTGAGTTGCTCATTAACATTTCTTTTGTTTCCAAGGGTGGGAAAGGTGTCTGGTGGAGGGAGTCATTAAGGTCAGGGGGGTTCTTCATGAGGAATCTGAGGTGTGAATGGTCATTAACATATCTTTTGTTTCCAAGGGTGGGAGAGGTCAGAGGTGTGAATGGTCATTAACATATCTTTTGTTTCCAAGGGTGGGAGAGGTCTGAGGTGTGAATGGTCATTAACATATCTTTTGTTTCCAAGGGTGGGAGAGGTCTGAGGTGTGAATGGTCATTAACATTTCTTTTGTTTCCAAGGGTGGGAAAGGTGCCTGGTGGGAGGGAGTCATTAAGGTCAGGGGGGTTCTTCATGAGGAATCTGAGGTGTGAATGGTCATTAACATATCTTTTGTTTCCAAGGGTGGGGGAGGTCTGAGGTGTGAATGGTCATTAACATATCTTTTGTTTCCAAGGGTGGGAGAGGTCTGAGGTGTGAATTGGTCATTAACATATCTTTTGTTTCCAAGGGCGGGAGAGGTCAGAGGTGTGAATTGGTCATTAACATATCTTGTGTTTCCAAGGGTGGGAGAGGTCTGAGGTGTGAATGGGGATTACAATGTGTGACAAGCTTGGTAGGAACATCCTGTGTTCAGTGTTTTGTCCATCTGAGTACCTTGAAAACGCTTTCCATGCATTTTTCATGATGAAAAAAAGGCTCTGGACAGCATTGGAACCGGAAGAGTTAAAAAAAATTTCAAACGCTTATAAACGCGATTTGCTGTGTTTAGCCGCATTTACAAGTGTTTTGCATTTGAAACTCTGATAAAATCGACTGATGAATGCAAGTTTTTCTACGTTCAAAGAAACAACTGCAAACTCAACTTCCTGTGAACGACTTGAAACGACGATGTGTACACGAACACATAGGAAAACATTAGGGAGAGTTCAGGGGCTGCTGAAAAAAACGCTGAACAGCTCCTAAACGCGAGTTTATCAGCTGCAGTGTACATGAGCCCCAATTCTAGCGTGACATATTATACAAAATACCGTGACTATAAAACGATTAATCTTCATGCACACGGGATGTTTTTACAGCGGCTGTTTTTGGCTTTTGGAGTTTTTTTCTACAGCCAGTAGCCCCCTAGCATGTTATCCTATGTGTCCATACACACGCAGACTGGAATCAACGTTTTCTAGCTAGGATGTTTTTCTGGCTGGGATGTTTTTCTGGCTGTTAATAAAACCCAGGACTAGTGGGCTTCTAGAGGAGTTTTTTTAGCTGTACAAATGCGGCAAAATGCTGCAAACCGCCATTTTTGGACTTATTTGACCCCCCAAAAATTATGGGTGGTAAAAAAAAAAGTTAAAAAACGCTAAAAACGAAAAAGTGGGAAAAAGCAGCTAAACAGTGGTAAATGCTAATGCAAAAATGCTAAAAAAAAGCTGAAAAACGCACGTTTTTAATGTCTTTACACAGCTAATATTACCAAACGTTATCAAAAACATCCCGTGTGATTGAGGATGTTTTTACAGCGGCTGTTTTTGGCGTGTTTTTTTCTACAGCCAGTAACCCCCCAGCCAGCATGTTATCCTAGGTGTCCATACACACAGAGACTGGAATCAACGTTTTTTGGCTGAAAAAAAAAACAGAACTAGTGGGCTGCTAGAGGAGTTTGTTAGCTGTAAAAACGCTGCAAACTGGCGTTTTTGGACTTTTTTTGACCAAAAAAAAAATTAAAAAGAAAGCTAAAAAAAACCCCGCAAACACGGTAAAACGCCATCCATGCACGCACAGACTGTGATCAATTTTTGGCTGGGAACAAAACCAGAACTAGTGGGTTTCTATTAGTTTTTTTAGCTGTAAAACACAGCAAACTGGCGTTGTTTGGACTTTTTGACCAAAAATGACAGTTTTTGGGGAAAAAAAAAACGCAAATACGCCATCCATGCATATAGACTGTAATCAACTTTTTTGCCAGGGACATTTTTTTTGCTGGAAAAAAAACCCAGGACTAGTGTGTTTCTTGGAGGAGTTTTTTAGCTGTAAAAATGCTCTAACCCTGAAAAACACACAGTAAAACGCCGCAAACTGGCATTTGTGGATTTTTTTTTACCAAAAAAAAACAGCTAAACGCAAACTCAGAACTAGTGGGTTTCTAGAAGAGTTTTTTAGCTGTAAAATGCCTCAAACTGGCGTTTTTGGACTTTTTTTGACCAAAAAAAAAATAATTACAAAAAGCTAAAAAAAAACGCAGACATGGTAAAACGCCATCCATGCACGCACAGACTGTAATCAACATTTTTTGGCTGGGAAAAAAACCAGAACTAGTGGGTTTCTAGAGGAGTTTTTTAGCTGTAAAACCGCAAACCGGTATTTTTGGACTTTTTTTGACCTAAAAAAAGCAAATGCAGTAAAAAGCCATCCATGCACACAGACTGTAATCCATGTTTTTTTTTGGCAGGGATGTTTTTTGGCTGGAAAAAAACCCAGGACTAGTGAGTTTCTAGAGGAGTTTAGCTGTAAAAAATGCTCTAACGCTGAAAAACACAGTAAAACGCCACAAACCGGAGTTTTTGCATTTTTTTGACCAAAAAAAAACACTAAACGCAAATGTGTGGTAACTCGCCATTCATGCACACATAGACTGTAATCAACCCTTTTTTTTGCTGAAAAAAAACCCTGAACTAGTGGATTTCTAGATGAGCTTTTAGATGTAAAAACGCTCTAACGCTGAAAAACATAAAAAATGTGTCAATCTGGCGTTTTTTTGGGACTTTTTTTGGGTAAAACCCCCTAAACAAAGTGTGTTTTTTAACGTGACTTTACACAGCTAACACTACTAGCATTATTAAAATACCCCGTGTGTGTGGAGCCTTATGCAGGCATAGACGGGTTGAAAATCGGCCGATTTTTGCACCGTTAGTCAGCCGTTTTTCGGGGTTTTGGCACATTTTTTTTTAATCGGTGAAGTTGGAAAAAAATTGGCCGATTTTCCTGGCAATGATGGGCAAATCGGCCGATCTTTTTACCGATAAAAAATCTGCACATGAGTTGTGACCTGCAAGAAGAAAGAAGAAGAACAAGAAGACGAATTCCATTCCGCTATTATATTTGACATGAAAAAGTCTTGCGGTTACAACATTGTATCCATTTGTATCCAAATAAAAAACATCTTTCTCCGAAATGGATACAAATAGATACATTGTTGCAACCGCAAGACTTTTTCATGTCAAATATAATAGTGGAGCTCTCTGCAGGGACAGAAGTAAGTATTTAAATGCCGGCCGTAGACGGGACGAAAATCGGGCCATTTTTTTTACCGTTGGTGGTAACAGCGGCCGATCGAACGACCAATTTTTTTTTAAACCGCTTGCCGCCCTGCCACTGTGTATATACGTGTGCAGGGCGGCAGTGGAGCGCAAAAGCACGTTTTAAAACGTGCTCCACGCTCCCGACACATTCGCGGGTAGGGGGCGCGCACGCTCCTGCCGACCCGCGGGTGATACGATTCGATCCAGGAGGGATCAATCATTAGATTTCAGCCAGTGATTTCTGGCTGAAATCACGTGATCGGTCCCTGTCCTATCCTGTCCTGTGTTGACAGTTACACAGGGCAGGATATGATGTCATTCTTCTCTGCCTGGACACATTCCGTTCCAGACAGAGAAGAAGACATCCAAACAGTGAGTAAAACACTACACACTGACAGAACACTCTAGTGCACATTTAACCCCCTGATCGCCCCCCCCCCCCCCAGTTGACCCCTTCACTGCCCTGTCACCAGTGCCACTGATCAGTGAAGTAATTTTTACTGATCAGTGTCGCTGGCGACTTCCGATAGAGTTAGCTCCCCTCCCAGATAGCGCCAGTTTGCCCGCTAATACACCAGTAGTCCCATTTAACCCCATGATCGCCCCCCCCCCCAGTTAACCCCTTCACTGCCCTGTCACCAGTGTCACTGATCAGTGAACCAATTTTGTATCAGTGTCACTGGCGACTTCCGATAGTGTTAGCGCCCCTCCCAGATAGCGCCAGTTTGCCCGCTAGTGCACCAGAAATCCCATTTAAAAAAGAAAAACCGCCACCCCCCCCCCCTAACCCCTTGATCGCCCCCCTCCCCCCCCCCCCCCAGTTAACCCCTTCACTGCCCTGTCACCAGTGTCATTGATTACAGTGAACAGATTTTTACTGATCACTGTATTAGTGTCACTGGCGACTTCCGATAGTGTTAGTGCCCCTCCTAGATAGCGCCAGTTTGCCCGCTAATGCACAGGATTTTTTTGTTACCAAAAACATCTAGCAGAATACATTTTGGCTTAAATTTATGACTAACTTTGAGTTTACGATATATTTTTTATAGCTGAAAGTAGAAAATATTGTTTTTTTTTCAAAATTTCGTAATTTTTTTGATTATAGCGCAAAAAATAAAAACCGCACAGGTGATCAAATACCACCAAAAGAAAGCTCTATTTGTGTGAAAAAAAGGACGTAAATTTCGTTTGGGTGCAACATTACACGACCGCGCAATTATCATTTGAATTAGTGCAGCGCCAAACAGCAAAAAAAGGCGTGGTCATTAAGGGGGGTAAATCCTCAGGAGCTCAAGTGGTTAACGGCCGGATTTTGACCCGTCTATGGCCTGCATAAGTCCTCACGCACACGGGACATTTTGATAACGCTGGTAACGTTAGCTGTGTAAAGTCACGTTAAAAAATTTGAATATTTCATCTTTTTTTTAGCGCCTATGCATTAACGGCATTTTGCTGCAATTAGTGGTGTTTTACCACGTTTGCAGTTTTTAGTGTTCTTTTTACAACAAAAAAATAATCCAAACACGCCAGTTTGTGGCATTTTTAGTATTAGAACATTTTTATAGGTAAAAAACCCCTCTAGAAACATGCTAGTTCAGGGTTTTTTTTCCAGTCAAAAAAAACGTTGATTACAGTCTTTGTGTGCATGGACGGCGTTTTACTGTGTTTGCGGTTTTTAGCAGTTTTTTGGTCTAAAAGACGTCCAAATCGCCGGTTTGCGGCATTTTACTGCGTTTAGAGCATTTGTACAGCTAAAAAAACTCTAGAAACCATTAGTGCTGGCTTTTTATTCCAGCCAAAAAACTTTGATTACAGTCTATGTGTGCATGGACGATGTTTTACAGCGTTTGCGTTTTTTTTTTTTTTTACTGCTTTTTGGGTTATTTAGGTTTTTTTTGGTAAAAAAAAACATCCAAAAATGCCGGTTTGCGGCGTTTTACTATGTTTTTCAGCGTTAGAGCATTTTTACAGCTAAAAACTGCTCTAGAAATCCACTAGTCCTGGGTTTTTTTTTCCAGCCAAAAAACTTTGATTAGTCTATGAGTGCATGGATGGCGGTTTACCGTATTTGTGGGTTTTTTTTTTTACCAAAATAATTTTTTCTTGGTAAAAAAAAAAACATCCAAAAACGCCGCTTTGTGGCATTTTACTGCGTTTTTCAGTGTAAGAGCATTTTTACAGCTAAAAAATTCTAGAAACCCACTAGTTCTGGGTTTTTACTCCAGCCAAAAAAATGTCGATTATAGTCTACGTGTGCATGGACGGTGTTTTCTCGCTTTTTGGGTAATTCGGAGTTTTTTTTTTGTAAAAAAAAAAAGGCCAAAAATGCCAGTTTGCTGTGTTTTACTGCGTTTTTCAGCATTAGAGCGTTTTTTACAGCTAAAAAACTCCTCTAGAAGCCCACTAGTCCTGTTTTTTTTTCAGCCAAAAAACATTGATTACACTGTATGTTTGCATGGATGGTGTTTTACTGCTTTTTGGGTAATTCAGCGTTTTTTTTGGTTAAACAAAATGTCCAAAAATGTAGGTTTGTGGCGTTTTTTTTTTCTGCGTTTGAGCGTTTTTACAGCTAAAAAACTCCTCTAGAAACCCACCAGTCCTGGGGTTTTTTTTCCAGCCAAAACACATCCCAGCCAGTCAATGCGTGCATGGATGGCATTTTACTGCGTTTTTTTTTTTTGGGGGGTAAAAAAAGTCCAAATATGCAGGTTTGCGGCGTTTTACTGCGTTTTTTCTCAGCATTAGAGCATTTTTACAGCTAAAAAACTCCTCTAGAAGCCCACTAGTTCTGGGTTTTTATTCCAGCCAAAAAAAAGTTGATTACAGTCTACGTGTGCATGGATGGTGTTTTACCGCTTTCTGAATTTTTTTTATCTTTTTTTGGTAAAAAAAAAATCCAAAAACACCGGTTTGCGCCACGCCATTTTTTCTGCGTTTTTCAGCATTAGAGCCTTTTTACAGCTATAAAAACTCCTCTAGCAGCCCACTAGTTCTGGGATTTTTTTTCAAGCTAAAAAAACGTTGATTTCAGTCTGTGTGTGTATGGACACCTAGGATAACATGCTGGGGGGGGTTTACTGGATTTAGATAAAAATGTCAAAAGCCAAAAACAGCCGCTGTAAAAATGTCCCGTGTGCGTGAGGACATAGTCTTTTAGCCCTCATGCACACGGGTTGTTTTTATAAAGCTGGTAATATTAGCTGTGTAAAGTCACCTTAAAAAATGAGTTTTTCAGCTTTTTTTTTAGTGTTTTTGCATTAGTGTTTGGTGGCATTTAGCTGTATTTTCCCACATTTTCATTTATAGCGTCTAACATTATTTTTACCCCCCAAAATTTTTTGGGGGGAGGTTCAAAAAAGTACAAAAACGGCAGTTTGCCGTGTTTTTACAGCTAAAAAAAACTCTTCTAGAAGCCCACTAGTTCTGTTTTTTTTTTCCAGCAAAAAAACATTGATTCCAGTCTGTGTGCATGGACACATAGGATAACTTGCTGGGGGGTTACTGGCTGTAGAAAAAAACATCAAAAGCCAAAAACAGCCGCTGTAAAAATGTCCCGTGTGCGTGAGGACTTAAAGTGACCCTTCACTTGCAGCTGTATCTATAAGGATCTGGTATGGATTTTGGGGGGGAACCCCACACCATTTTTTTTTTTTTTTTTTTTTAATTTTGGTGTGGGGCTTCCCTTTAAAATCCATACCAGATCCAAAGGGCTTGGTATGGATGGGAAGAGGGACCCCACCAAGGGACTGACCATTTGGAAACTTGGGCACTGCTTGAGGGCCCAGGGTCAGTAGGGGGCCCCATGAGATGCCCCTGGTACCTTTTTCATAGGTTTTTTTGAGTTTGGGCAAGGACACGGGGGCCCCATGATCCCCTATTGCCCGGGCAATGCCCGAGTTTCCAAATGGTCATTCCGCCCCTGATTGGCATCATAGGTAGACCTCAACTATGAGAGACAAAATGAGAAAACAAATCCAGACAAACACATTGGCTGATCTGGAAAGAAATTATTTGCAAATTATGGTGGAAAATAAGTATTTGGTCAATATGAAAAGTTCATGTCAATACTTTGTTATGTATCCTTTGTTGGCAATGACAGAGGTCAGACGTTTCCTGGAAGTCTTCACAAGGTTGGCATACACTGTTGCTGGTATGTTGGCCCATCCTCCATGCAGATCTCCTCTAGAGCAGTGATGTTTTGGGGCTGTCGCTGGGCAACACGGACTTTCAACTCCCTCCAAAGGTTTTCTATGGGGTTGAGATCTGGAGACTGGCTAGGCCACTCCAGGACCTTGAAATGCTTCTTACGGAGCCACTCCTTCGTTGCCTGGGTGGTATGTTTGGGGTCATTGTCATGTTGGAAGACCCAGCCATGTTTCATCTTCAATGCCCTTGCTGATGGAAGGAGGTTTGCACTCAAAATCTCACGATACATGGCCCCATTCATTCTGTGCTGTACATGGATCAGTCATCCTGGTCCCTTTGCAGAGAAACAGCCCCAAAGCATGATGTTGCCACCCCATGCTTCACAGTAGGTATGGTGTTCTTTGGATGCAACTCAGCATTCTCTCTCCTCCAAACACGACGAGTTGTGTTTCTACCAAACAGTTCTATTTTGGTTTCATCTGATCATATGCCGTTCTCCCAATCCTCTTCTGGATCATCCAAATGCTCTCTAGCAAACTTCAGACGGGCCCCGGACATGTACTGGCTTAAGCAGGGGGACACGTCTGGCACTGCAGGATCTGAGTCCCTGGCGGCGTAGTGCGTTACTGATGGTAGCCTTTGTTACGTTGGTCCCAGCTCTCTGCAGGTCATTCACTAGGTCCCCCCGTGTGGTCCTGGGATTTTTGCTCACCGTTCTTGTGATCATTTTGACCCCACGGGGTGAGATCTTGCGTGGAGCCCCAGATCGAGGGAGATTATCAGTGGTCTTGTATGTCTTCCATTTTCTAATTATTGCTCCCACAGTTGATTTGTTCACACCAAGCTGCTTGCCTATTGCAGATTCAGTCTTCCCAGCCTGGTGCAGGTCTACAATTTTGTTTCTGGTGTCCTTCGACAGCTCTTTGGTCTTCACCATAGTGGAGTTTGGAGTGTGACTGTTTGAGGTTGTGGACAGGTGTCTTTTATACTGATAACAAGTTCAAACAGGTGCCATTGATACAGGTAATGAGTGCAGGACAGAGGAGCCTCTTAAAGAAGAAGGTACAGGTCTGTGAGAGCCAGAAATCTTGCTTGTTTGTAGGTGACCAAATACTTATTTTCCACCATAATTTGCAAATAAATTCTTTCCAAATCAGCCAATGTGATTGTCTGGATTTGTTTTCTCATTTTGTCTCTCATAGTTGAGGTCTCCCTATGATGCCAATTACAGGCCTCTCTCATCTTTGTAAGTGGGAGAACTTGCACAATTGGTGGCGGACTAAATACTTTTTTGCCCCCCCCTGTAATTACGTGAATCAGTATACCCATGGATATAGTAGGACTTTTGGAACAACTGTGAAACATGGCATAAAAAAAAAGATATGGGGAAGGGTAAGAAAAGCTCTAGGAGTCAATTGTTCACAAATTAAATTTTTAGGATTTAAGCTTAGTGCACACGATCAGAAAATTGTACGGAAAATACAGCTTTCAAAGCGGTAGTAGTACAATAATCTGATCATTCGTACACAGTTTCCAAAATGACTCGAAGGGACAAGCACAAAAATGTTTGCAAGATCGTACAATTTTCATTTAATTAGTACAGTTTTTATCTGAAAATATAAGACATTACATCACTTCCAATTTTTTTATCATACAAGAATTTTCATAACTTTGTTAAAATATTCATTTTCAATATGGAGACCAGCATGCAAAAACAAAAAAACTAACAAAAAAAAAAGGACAATTCATCTGATATTCTCATTGTGTGTACAGAGCTTAAGGGGGAGGGAGGGTTTTTGATTTTCAAAATGAAGCACGAAAAAAGTTGAAATGCAAAAGTAGTCCTAAAAAAAAAAAAGAAGTATAATGTTCCTCTTACCCAGAAAAGAGATGATAGCCCCCTCATGTATGCAAGAGACAATCTTACCACCATTCATCAATCTGTCAGCTGAAATACAGGAAAGCAGGTTACAGGTTAGTACAATACCTAAAACTATAATGATGTTGAGTCAATTTAATTTTGTTTTAATTGACATAATTATTATTTATTCAAGTTTTAAAGTACTGTTTTATATGACAAAGGATTCCCAGAGTACTTGTGGCTTAGCTAAAGAGACAGAAGCTGTTTTCTTTCAGGCATTCTGTCTCTGATTAAAATCTCCGATGGATCTACATAGAGGGAGGAGTAGAGAAGTGAAGGAGTCTCTATTCTGACTTAATCACGTATAGATTTTATCTTGGATTATTAAGATCTGACAAATGCAGTTTTTTCTCTAGGAGGAGGTAAGGAGCGACTGGAAGAAATGTGAAATGGAGAGAAGGGTGCCACCTGCTGACAGAGAGAAGAATACAAAGCGTTCATAAACGATATTTCATATTCTTGGGCTGTTCACTTGGGTAAGCAGCTTATTAAGGCTGGGTTCACATGTGTGGCAGCTATGATCACCCTCGGAAAAGGTGGATGGCTTTTTTTTTTTAAAGGGAGTAGAGTGCTTCCAGGTATTTAGGAGGCAATATTGCCACCTCCTGAATGCCTGCTTACAAGACCGGCCCAGCAGTCTTGTAAATGGACTGTTCCTGACATCAGTATGCTCAATTCTGGAGGATCGGTGGGTCAGGTAAGTATGCCCACTGCATAGTATACAAAAAAATAAATTAAAAAAAAATGACGAGTTCTGCTTTAACCTCCCTGGCGGTCTGATTATTTCAGATTTTTGGTGCTGAAAGCGGTACATTTTTTTGCATGGAAATATGTAGTTTTTTTTATTGTAGCCTGTAATTCTTAGGAATAACTCACTGAAATCTGTCTGAACAAGAGTCTAGTAAACATCCCGGGGAGGATAAAACTTGAAACGCAAAATCATAAATTATAATTTAATAAATAATCATAAAAAAATAATAATAATATAATAATAAATGTAATTAAACAATATAATCAAACCAAAAACACTGAAATGTGAAATATAGCGCCAAGTTCGCACATCGCTGAGCAAAGTCGCAGAATCGTTTTCAGTGTCTGATGAGGAATTTCCCCCACGAATCATTATCACTCAATTCTGCAAGTGGTTCTGATTTACTATCGCTGTTCTCTAGCCGGTCTAAAACCGCTTTTGACCTAAAGGGACGCTTTTTGGACGCCATGGATGTTTCTCAGTTTCCAGGCATCAGAAAGAACAGTAAAAATGCAGGCAGGGCGCCGGACAAAGCACTCGGGACAACATGTATGTGAAATGGGTTGAAACAGCAATGTTTTACTATGTAATAATCATTTTTAAAAAAATGAATTTTTTTTTAAAATTTCAAATTTGCTGCCGGTTCCGGCGCCCGTACGTCCCGACGTCACAGGGACCAGAACACGGAAGCCGGATGCCGGCATCGGCCGGAGGAGATGGCCGGGGACTCTGCAGGGGACACATCGCGGGAGCGAAGGACAAGGTAAGCGCTGCAGGGACTCCCTATGCAATGCTGCATGGTAAGCCCGAGTGTAGCTCGGGGGGGGGGTTACCGCTTTTGGTACTGAAACTTTACCCCCGAGCTACACTCAGGAATACCGCCAGGGAGGTTAATCAACCTTAATTAACCCCTTCTTCCCCTTAGCCTTTATTTTTCTGATGCATTTTTTTATCTATTTTTTTCCATTTATATTTTATTTTTTGTCATTTTCATTTGTTTTTATATAATAATATGGACCCCTGCACCACTCACAGAAAAAAAAAAAACACAGGTAGCTACCATTCCTAATGGAAATCCCATTAATTAAAAATAATCTATGCATAAACAGAACAGCGCTGCACACTAATATATCCAGTAGCTAATCCATAACTCAAAAGATAAAAATATATTAAAAACGTCCCCCTAGATTTAAAATGTGATGTACATAAAAAAAACTGATGTACATAGAACAAACCCTACTTATGCCCACTTATGGGTGAGTATGCCCACTGCATGGTATAAAAAAATAAAAAAAATGACCAGAGCTCTGCTTTAATCAACCTTAATTAACCCCTTCAGCTTATATTTTCTGATGCATTTTTTTAAATCTATTTTTTTTTTCCATTTAATTTCTTTTTTGTCATTTTCATTTGTTTTTATACAATATGGACCCCTGCACCACTCACAGAAAAAAAAAACACAGGTTGCTGCCATTCTTAATGGAAATCCCATTAATTAAAAATAATCTGTGCATGCAGAACAGCGCTGCACACTAATATATCCAGTACCTAATCCATAACTCAAAAGACAAAATATATATTAAAAATGTCTGCCTATATTTAAAAAGTGATGTACATACTGTAAAATAAAATGATGTACATAGAACAAACCCTACTTATTCCCACTTATGAGTGAGTATGCCCACTGCATGGTATAAAAAAATTAATAAATTAAATTAATTAAAAAAAGACCAGAATTCTGCTTTAATCAACCTTAATTAACTCCTTCTTCCCCTTAACTCATATTTTTCTGATGCATTTTTTTTAATCTATTTTTTTCCATTTATATTTATTTTTTTGTCATTTTTATTTGTTTTTATATGGACTCCTACATAGAAAAACCGAAACCCCCCCCCCCACAAAACTAAACAGGTAGCTGCCGTTCCTAATAGAAATCCCATTAATTAAAAAATAATCTGTGCGTATAGAACAGCGCTGCACACTAATATCTACAGTACCTAATCCATAACTCAAAAGATAAAGTATATATTAAAAACATCCCCCTATATTAAAAATGTGGAAAAAAAACTGATGTACGTATAACAAACCCTACGTATGCCTCTGACTCACATACAATATAATATGTGACTAATTTTCCTTCTCATCACATATAAAATGTATAAAACAATATTATTAATGATCAAAGGGATTAGTACAATCAGATAAATGAATGAATCGCTTCCACTCCCAGAGGATGTCAAGTGACGGAACGCGTTGGGCAGAGCCAGGAGGTGACGTCACTGCGCACGGCGGTGTTGTCTCACGGTGGTCGTTCTTATACGGCTGGAGATAACCGTACTTACCATACAAGAGTTGAAGTGATTAAAGCGTGATTGACCAAACTCACCCAAGATGATGAATCCAAGGCAGATAATCGGATCCAGTGAGAAGCCAAGAGCGAGGAGCCCCGAGGTACATTCATTAGAGATGTATTCCTCAGAAGTGACTGTAACAGCTAGGTGAAAGAAAGTCACATGCTTTAATCATCGCAACGACTTTTTATTTTCAGGGCAAATTGGAATTTCATTTGGTGGTGAATGGTAACGGATTTTTTTTGAGCCTTGGTACACGTATGTGCGGGGCCAGTTTGCAGTGCGATTTCAAGCCCCTTCCGGTATGACTTCGTTCAGCGGTTCAGGAGCGAATTGGTAAAGTGTGTGTCACAATGGAAATCGTACCTGAACCGGGCTGAAAATTGTTCTGGACTCTTTTTGAAATCACACTGGTGAACTGGCTCCATAGAAAAACCTTGGTTCACATGTCATGAGAATTGGACGTGGTTCAAAACATACACTATACCTGCCAAAAGTATTGGTCGGCCGGCCTTTCCACGCACATGAACTTTAATGGCATCTCAGTCTTGGTCCAAAGGGTTCAATATTGCGTTGGCCCCGCCCTTTGCAGCTATAACAGCTTCAACTCTTCTGGGAAGACCATCCACAAGGTTTAGGAGGGTGTCTATGGGAAGGTTGGACCATTCTTCCAGAAGCACATTTGTCAGGTCAGGCACTGATGTCGGGGGGGAGGAGGCCTGGCTCGCAGTTCCGCTCTAATTCATCCCAAAGGTGTTCTATGGGGTTGAGGTCAGGACTCTGTGCAGGCCGGTCAAGTTCCTCCACCCCAAACTAGCTTCTCCATGTCTTTATGGACCTTGCTTTGTGCACTGGTGGACAGTCATGTTGGAACAGGAAGGGGCCATCCTCAAACTCTTCCCACAAAGTTGGGAGCATGAAATTGTCCAAAATGTCTGGTATGCGGACACCTTAAGAGTTCCCTTCACTGGAACTAGGGGGCCAAGCCCAACTTCTGAAAAACAACCCCACACCACAATCCCCCCTCCACCAAACGTTACACTTGGCAAAATGCAGTCAGGCAAGTACTGTTCTCCTGGCAACAGCCAAACCCAGACACATCCATCGGATTGCCAGACAGAGAAGCATGATTGGTCACTCCAGAGAACACATCTCCACTGCTCTAGACTCCAGTGGTGGCGTGCTTTACACCACAGCATCCATCCGCTTTGCATTGCATTTGGTGATGTAAGGCTTGGATGCAGCTGCTCGGCCATGGAAACCCATTCCATGAAGCTCTCTACGCACTGTTGTTGGGCTCATCTGAAGGCCACACCAAGTTTGGAGGTCTTTAGCTATTGACTCTGCAGACAGTTGGCGACTTCTGTGCACTGTGCGCTTCATCATGCGCTGACCCCGCTCTGTCATGTGACGTGGCCTACCACTTGGTGGCTGAGTTGCTGTTGTTCCCAGTTACTTCCACTTTGTTATAATCCCACTATCAGTTGAGCGTGGAATATTCAGTAGCCAGGAAATGTCATGGATGGACTTATTGCCCAGGTGACCACCTATCACGGGACCACGCTTGGAGTCACTGAGCTCCTGAGAGCGACCCATTCTTTCACCAATGTTTGTAGAAGCCGTCTGCATGCCTAGGGGCTTGATTGTATACACCTGTGTCCATGGAGGGGATTGGAACACCTGAATCACATGATTGGGAGGGCGGGGACAATACTTTTGGCAATATAGTGTATATATACATTTTTTAAATGATTATTTATTTTTTTACATTTATTTTATTTTTAGGTATTTAAAATATATATCCTGAGATTACATATACAATGTGCCCTCATTTCAGCTCCAAATCCTAAAATTGTTTATGTACAGTAAAACTTACCAGGGATGAGGACTTTGAAATCCTCCGAAACTGTCCGCTTAAAGTTAGTGAATGTGAAATTATGAGCGTCCTCCTTTGAGAAACTCTTAATTATGAATGTGCAGGTCTTACGGTCATACTGCAGGCGCTCCTTATATTTCCTAAAACCCTGTAGTACATGATCATGGTAGTTGCCGATATGAGTTTCTCCGGTATGAACATCAATAATCGGTTCCTCGCATAATTGCACCAGTGGAAGGTGAAGATCGGACCCGTAGCGGCCATACACAGTCCTCGATGAATCTGCATCACCTGGAGAACAAATTAAAAGGCAATTACAGAAGACATCATTGTATGTCAGACAGAAGCCAACTATATGTAGACTAAAGTAGATGTGAACCTGAACTAGAGGGTGTATCATATCTTGAAGCGCTGTGTATCACAGAATTCTTAATCTGAACTCCAGATAGATATAAAAGACACAAAGTAATGCAGCTGTGTAATCATTAATACATCATTAAGTGCAAAATATCAGCCTCTTACTCAGCAATAAAGAGGTAAAGTGTTCCTGAACCCACAACAGTACAATCAGTCTGTAGATGCAGGAAAGCATGCTTGTTATATCACTGTGGAACCTAAGGGGTTAATACTCTGCATTGTGTAAAAAGGCCATTTGATCCTGTCTTCTCTGATCCTCCCCTTCTTCCAGTGTCCCTCTATTATCTCCTGATAGGACATATTGTGCGGAGTCACTCTGCACATGCTCAGTTTGCGTATTGCTAGAAAGGTTTCCTTTCCTGGCTACTAAATATTCCACGCTCAACTGTTTGTGGGATTATAACAAAGTGGAAGCAACTGGGAACAACAGCAACTCAGCCACCAAGTGGTAGGCCACGTCACATGACAGGGCGGGGTCAGAGCATGCTGAAGCGCACAGTGCGCAGAAGTCACCAACTGTCTGCAGAGTCAATAGATAAAGATCTCTCAAACTTGGTGTGGCCTTCAGATGAGCCCAACAACAGTGTGTAGAGAGCTTCATGGAATGGGTTTCCATGGCCAAGCAGCTGCATCCAAGCCTTCCATCACCAAGTGCAATGCAAAGCGTCGGATGCCGTGGTGTAAAGCACGTGGCCACTGGAGTCTAGAGCAGTGGAGGCGTGTTCTCTGGAGTGACCAATCACACTTCTCTGTCTGGCAATCCGATGGACGTGTCTGAGTTTGGCAGATGCCAGGAGAACGGTACTTGCCTGACTGCATTGTGCCAAGTGTAAAGTTTGGTGGAGGGGGGATTATGGTGTGGGATTGTTTTTCAGAGGTTGGGCTTGGCCCCCTAGTTCCAGTGAAGGGAACTCTTAAGGTGTCAGCATACCAGACATTTTGGACAATTTCATGCTCCCAACTTTGTAGGAAGAGTTTGGGGATGACCCCTTCCTGTTCCAACATGACTGCACACCAGTGCACAAAGCAAGGTCCATAAAGACATGGAGGAGCCAGTTTGTGGTGGAGGAACTTGACTGTCCTGCACAGAGTCCTGACCTCAACCCCATAGAACACCTTTGGGATGAATTAGAGCGGAGACTGTGAGCCAGGCCTCCTCCCCCGACATCAGTGCCTGACCTGACAAATGTGCTTCTGGTCAGGGGAGACCGGATATAGTGAATGCAGGGTCCAGGGAGACTAAATATAGTGAATGCGGGGTACGGTGAGAGCGGATATAGTGAATGCAGGGTCCGGGGAGACCGGATATAGTGAATGCGGGGTCCGGGGAGAGCGGATATAGTGAATGCAGGGTCAGGGGTGACCAGATATAGTGAATGCAGGGTCCAGGGAGACTAAATATAGTGAATGCAGGGTCCAGGGAGAGCGGATATAGTGAATGCAGGGTCCGGGGAGAGCGGATATAGTGAATGCGGGGTCCAGGGAGAGCAGATATAGTGAATGCGGGGTCCAGGGAGAGCGGATATAGTGAATGCAGGGTGTGGGGAGACCAGATATAGTGAATGCAGGGTCCAGGGAGAGCGGATATAGTGAATGCAGGGTTCGGCGAGACCGGATATAGTGAATGCAGGGTCCGGGAGAGCGGATATAGTGAATGCGGGATCCAGGGAGAGCGGATATAGTGAATGCGGGGTCCAGGGAGAGCGGATATAGGGAATGCGGGGTCCAGGGAGAGCGGATATAGGGAATGCGGGGTCCAGGGAGAGCGGATATAGTGAATGCAGGGTGTGGGGAGACCAGATATAGTGAATGCAGGGTCCAGGGAGAGCGGATATAGTGAATGCAGGGTCCGGGGAGACCGGATATAGTGAATGAGGGGTCCGGGGAGAGCGGATATAGTGAATGCAGGGTCCGGGGAGACCGGATATAGTGAATGAGGGGTCCGGGGAGAGCGGATATAGTGAATGCAGGGTCCGGGGAGAGCGGATATAGTGAATGCGGGGTCCGGGGAGAGCAGATATAGTGAATGCAGGGTCCGGGGAGACCAGATATAGTGAATGTAGGGTCCGGGCAGAGCGGATATAGTGAATGCAGGGTCCGGGGAGAGCGGATATAGTGAATGCAGGGTCCAGGGAGAGCGGATATAGTGAATGCGGGGTCCAGGGAGAGCGGATATAGTGAATGCGGGGTCCAGGGAGAGCGGATATAGTGAATGCAGGGTGTGGGGAGAGCGGATATAGTGAATGCAGGGTCCGGGGAGACCGGATATAGTGAATGTGGGGTCCGGGGAGAGCGGATATAGTGAATGCAGGGTCCGGGGAGAGCGGATATAGTGAATGCAGGGTCCAGGGAGAGCGGATATAGTGAATGCGGGTCCGGGGAGACCGGATATAGTGAATGCAGGGTGTGGGGAGACCGGATATAGTGAATGCAGGGTCTGGGGAGACCGGATATAGTGAATGCAGGGTCCGGGGAGACCGGATATAGTGAATGCAGGGTCCGGGGAGACCGGATATAGTGAATGCAGGGTCCGGGGAGACCGGATATAGTGAATGCAGGGTTCTGGGTTAAATTAACACTTTAAGTGTTGTGGCAGTGCGGTACACTGCCAGGGTCTAAATGAGGATTATAACCCAGGATTCTAATCCAGGCAGGTTGAGGGGCTCCAGGGGGTTTGCCTAATGTAGAGGAAACTGGCTTTTCAGTTTCCTCATTGTTTCCTAAAGTCCATGTTGGGACCTGGAGCCTGGAGATTTCTAAGAGAGCCGGATAGGATGAAATCTCCAGTCCTGGGTTCAGGGTTTGTGAACAGCCAGCACACTGATTACACAGGTGTGTAGGCCTTTTTGGAGATTCCCAACCATGGTTCTGGCCTCCACCCTGGCAGACAGGAGGTCCTTAACCTCTTTGTCCGCCCTATAGCAGAAATAATGCTACAGGGCGGCACGGGTGCGCAAAATCACATATATATACACATGGTTTTGCATTTCCGGGTAGGGGCGTGCGCCCTATCTGTGACGCCATTTGCGGCTGTCAATCACTAGGCCCCGGCCGGTAATTACTTGCTGGTGCCTGGTGATTTCTGACGATCACTGATGGAGAGGAGGACTGTTTTGTTTACTAACAGTCCTCCTCCCTGTCAGCTTGGGCACAGCACAGCCATCCACAGCAGTGTTATTACAGTGAAGAACACTCCACCCCCAAGTAAAACACTCCCAGCACACAGTTAACCCTTTGATCACCCCATCTGTCAGTTTTGCTGGACAGCTTGGCCTGACCACAGCCATCTCGATCAGTGTGCTTACATTGAAGCACACCCCTCCTCCCAGTAAAACTCTCCCAGCACACAGTTAACCCTTTCATTGCCTTCAAATGTTAACCCCTTCCTACCCAGTGTCATTAGTACAGTGTCAGTGCTTTTTTTTGTAGCACTGATCACTGTATTGGTGTCACTGGGGATGTCAGTGACACCAAGTCAGTTCCCCCCCAGTGTCAGAATGTCCGCCGCAGTCCCGCTATAAGTTGCTGATCGCCGCTATAAGTAGTAAAAATTAACAAAAAATAAATTCCAGTATATATACCGTCATTTGTAAACGTTATAACTTTCACGTAAACCAATTAATTTATTTTTTAGCAAAGACACAGGCCGAAATTAATGACAATTTTTTTTTTTTTTTTTTTTTTTTTACTGGACATGTTTAATAGCAAAGTCAAAAATATTGTTTTTTTTTTCTCAAAATGGTTGGTCTTTTTTTGTTTATAGCGCAAAAAATAAAAGCCACACAGGTGATCAAATACCACCAAAAAAAGCTCTATTTGTGGGGGAAGAAAAAAGTAAATTTAATTTCATGACTGCGCAATTGTCAAAGTAACACAGCGCCGTAACGCTGGGGGTAAATCCTCTGGAGGGCAAGTGGTTAATAGCTGGTCTCCCTTCACCAGTGTTGCCAGGAGCTGCAGCAGTCACCATTTCCCACTGTGGCAAACTCTGTTCCAACATGTATGGGGCTGGTCCTGGCGATAACAAAGCCTCCAGCCACAGGGCTCTATCTCTCTCATATCCAGGGGCGGACTGACCATTTGGAAACTCGGGCACTTCCCAAGGGCCCGGGGTCAGTAGGGGGTCCCATGAGATGTCCCTGGTACCTTTTTCATAGGCTTTTTTGAGTTTGGGCAAGGACACAGGGGCCCCATGATCCCCAATTGCCCGGGGACCCCATGAGTTGTCAGTCCGCCCCTGCTCACATCTCTCTCATTTCAGCAATCCTTGCTTCTATTTTGAGTTTTGACCGCCCCATCTTCACTGTCACCAAGTGGTTAAAGAGACAGTGTTCCATTTATTTGTTGCTGGACTGAGCACAACACTTTTGCTCAGTCCAGCAACAAATAAATGGAACACTGTCTCTTTAACCACTTCCTGTCCGGACACTTTCCCCCCCTTCCTGTCCGGACACTTTCCCCCCTTCCAGTCCGGACACTTTCCCCCCCTTCCAGTCCGGACACTTTCCCCCCCTTCCTGTCCGGACACTTTCCCCCCTTCCAGTCCGGACACTTTCCCCCCCCTTCCAGTCCGAACACTTTCCCCCCCTTCCAGTCCAGACACTTTCCCCCCCTTCCAGTCCGGACACTTTCCCCCCCTTCCAGTCCAGACACTTTCCCCCCCTTCCAGTCCGGACACTTTCCCCCCCTTCCAGTCCGGACACTTCCCCTCCTTCCAGTCCGGACACTTTCACCCCCTTCCAGTCCGGACACTTCCCCTCCTTCCAGTCCGGACACTTTCCCCCCCTTCCAGTCCGGACACTTTCCCCCCTTCCAGTCCGGACACTTTCCCCCCCTTCCAGTCTGGACACTTTCCCCCCCCTTCCAGTCGGACA